TGTCTGGGATATCGATGTTTATGCTTTCTATTTCATTTTCGATAACTTCCAGTTTTTCTAGATTCATACTTCATACAATCCATGTTCCTGTTATTAATGAATGTTTGCAGCTGTTTCTTCTCATTTTGAGTTGTGCCACCTCAGCAAATGAAGGTCCCAGAAGCTTTACTGTATCCACGTCAAGGTCAACTCTACTTTGAGGAGCAGCTCTTCCACAGTCGTATTTTGAGTATCTTCCAGCTTGAGGGACTTACCTTCTGGCACTATATCAGACTATTCATAAGGTTTTCATTGGCCAATTTTTTCAAAAGTAGGCCATCAGTTCCTTCTTCCTAGTCTGTCTTAGTCTGTAAGCTCCCCTGAAACCTGTCCACCACGGGTGACTCTGCTGGTATTTGAAATACCAGTGGCATAGCTTCCAGCTTCACAGCAACACGCAAGCCGCCACACTATGACAAATTGACAGATGTCTGTGGTAAGACACTTACCATATGGCCCAGTAATTGCAGTCCTGGGTGTTTATCCCAGAGAAATTAAAACTTAAGTCCACACAAAAGCCTGTACATGTATATTCATAGAAGATTTATAGCCAAAACTGGAAATGATCAAAATATCCTGCAGTAGGTGAACATTACTAACTGCGGTACATCCGTACCATGGAATCTCATACAGAAATGAAAAGGAACAAACTTTCACTACATGCAGCAATTAGGATGGATGTCGTGGGCATTATGCTGAGTAAAAAAAAGTCAATCTCAAAAGGCCGCATTCTGTATGATTCCATTTGTTTTAATATTCTTTAAATGTCAGAGTTGTAGAGATAGAGAATAAATTAGTGATTTCTGGGGTTTAGGGAAGTTCTGAGGGAAAGGAGGTGGATGTGAATAGAACTGGGTAACAAGAAGGAGAGCATGTGGTGCATAACAGTTTCTTTTTTTAATTTTTTTCCCATACAAAAATTTATACATACATTGTTATGTGACTCTAATTGCTCTCCCCATACTGTGACAGCACATTCCTCCTTTCCGTCTCTGATTCCCCATGTCCGTTCATCTAGCTCCTGACCCTCTGTGCCTTCCCATCTCACCTCTGAACAGAAGCTGCCCATTTAGTCACTTGTATCTACTTGAGCTAAGAGGTACACTCCTCACCAGTATCACTTTATGTCCCACAGTCCAGTCCAATCCCTGTCTGAAGAGTTGGCCTTGGAAATTGTTTTAGTTCTGGGCTGATAGAGAATCCAGGAGCCATGCTTTCCGGGGTTCCTCCAGTCTCAGACCATTAAGTCAGGTCTTCTTACTAGAATTTGAGTTCTGCACCCCACT